ATATATATATATATATATATAAGGGAAAAATCGTTAAAGGCGTAGAATCTTGTATTAAGAATGGAATTGCCAGTACGTCCCCCCGTTGTGTCAGGGGTAAGTGCAAGGATTTACAACGCTAGAATTTGGGGTTTGATTCCTTGCATCGGTCTGAGCACGGATAGCCAGGTGTACCTTTGAATTAAGATAACAATAACTACAACAACAAGACTGGTCAATATAGTCGCCTGACTTAAACTCAGATATTTTGTGAAGGAAAATGAAACGTCATGCTAGTAAGTCCTTTCTGAAAGTCCTCCAGTGGCACAGCGGTATGTCTGCGGACTTACAACGCTAGAATCCAGGTTTCGATAGCCCATTGTGTAGCTTTGTGCTTAATTACAAACAAACCTTTCTGAAAACAAATGTGAATTCATTCAGGTTATTATTTCTTGAAGTCCAGCGATCTAGACCACGCGAAAGTGTGTTGGCATGATGCCATGATCGTGTGCTGGGGTGTTCAAAATGTTTGTCTGTTTGTTTGTTATTAAGCACAAAGCTACACAATGGGCTATCAGTGCTCTGCCCACATCGGGTATCGAAATTCGGTTTCTAGCGTTGTAAGTCCGCAAACATACCGCTATGCTACAGGGGGGCTGAAAAGAAAGAAAAATTCGCAAAGTATTAGATGTGTACAGAGTAGAAGATATAATATTACAGTACCGTAGTTTAGTTTTAAAACTTAATAAAGACTCACTTTGCACTTTTTCGATATCATATTGAAAGTTCATGACAGTATATGTATTGCCTTGTAACGCAACTTTAAATAAATATAACAACAATCTGTTTTCACTAATAAATTCAGCACGACATTTCTTTTCCATAATACTTATCATTAATCATATGATCTTAATCAAATAATGCTATGAAACCCAAACACAAGACAAATATGACAATTTGTTAGTAAGTGAAGCACTTTTCCCATGCACATGTTTAATAACCTTGTTATTATGTTACAATCTACCGTTTGTTTCAGCCAGCAGATGGCAGTAAGTACGAAATTCCACGGGAGTAAATTTTCAAGCAGATTATTTTTCAAAAAAGCTTTTGATTAGAAATATTAAATGCAGAAACGAAAACCCTTTTTCTCACATTTATAAAAGAAACAAATAATTATATATATATAGTTAATTATACACCAACCTTTCTGAGCCAATTATTATGATTTTTTTCCCCCAATAACTTAATTTATGAAATGATGCTGCATAGGCTTTCTTCCTATAATCCAATAACCGACGAAGAAAAAGGTTTGATAATTACTAAGCCAATAAAATCACCGTAGAATCTTTCTTTTTTTGTCAATATCTGAAAGTTTATAACGTTACTTAAATTCGTTTTCCTTGATTACTCTTATAATGACAAGAACGATTCGGAATTTTGAATCCTATAGATCATATGTCTTGGTACAATAAAAAGATCCTTTTATCATGATGATATGAGGTTACACAAATTATCTTTTTTTATTTAACTATTTTTTAAAAAAAACTTCTCATAAACTGGAAATTAGCATCGAATTTCGTTCACCTGTCAAAAATTAACAATCGCTACAATATTCTCGGCCATTAACGATGATTACCACACGTACTTACCGAGATTTAGGGAAAGGTACTACACTTTAAAACCTTGTCGAATAATTCCACGGATAGCAAGCTTACGTTAATTTCACTGAAGTAAGCGACATATAAGTAAATAACGAATTTTTAAAAGAACCAGTATAGAGTCTAATTTATGCTTAAAAAAAACCTATAAATCATAAATATGTAATTACAACAGGTCTTTAGACTGGAACCTACCTAAATTATTAGGTCGTCAATAAATTAATGTCGCTTTTTTTTAGATGAGAAAACCCGAACAACTTGTATATCAAAACAAAACATTTATTAAATGAAATAGTCTTCATTCTTATCGATGATGCTTTTCCATCTTATAAT